TTTGTTTGCTTGTGAAAAGCCTCAAATTTTATCGTGAATATATGTTTTGTGGGGGAAGGGGAGGGGTATAGCTAGGAAGCCTACTCAATCTACTTAGTGGACTGAATTTTCTTAAGCAACGGTCGTAAGTCAAGATGTTTGATGGAGAGAAGAAGAGAGGAAGGTGAATATCAAAATTCACAGCTCCTAGAATAAGAAGTCAAACACGTATCAAAAAATTTAAATAGAAAACGTAGAAGAAGAGTTTGGTTTTCAAATTTCCTTTTTATTTCGGATGGTTTTTATTCATTTCTTTATGGTTCTATTCTGTATCTATCTTATAATAATCATATTCCTGTGATAAGTCACTATGCGATAAATTCGGTGTAAATATCATTTTTTTAGAAAAGTCGCCATTAATGGCCGATAATGGCCATTGACGAAATCAAGATTTGCAGGGAAAAAAAACCCTCTTAAAAACTGCAGGGAGGTAAATTACCCTATCGCTTCTCGCTAAAACAATATTTGGTCCCCATTTACTTGCTCTCTTTGAACTTAATGAAACCGATCGAACTAAAATATGGTATAAAAATACTCGTCACTGACATTTTCTTTACGAATGAACTTACTCTCTTTCAGTTGGCAGTTTGAAGGACTACAGTAAAAACGCACATAAGTGGTTTAGGAGAAAATTCATGTCGGCATATGGGGTTTCCTTGTCTTGTCTCGAAGCGAAAACCATAGAGTCGTTATCATTTTCATGGACTCTGATGGGAAGATCACGTCCATATCTATGAAGTTTGTGCACCCTTTTGCCGTTGGGAAGTGAAGCGATGTCAGCAAAAGCAATAATAATGGAAGCAATGATAATAATGATGACAGTAATGATGATGATAAAGATAGTGATGATAATGATACGGAAGCTAAAATTCAGGCATTAAAAAAAATGCACCTAGTTTTAACAAAACAACATACAAAGGCTGTAACAACTAAATGATAGCAATCTATTAAATGCAGATAGGGCAGGGATTTATAGCTAATTCTTTCAAGCCCGCGGCTTATGTTCATGACGATACAAAGGAATATCGAATGTTATTTAAACATCACGACGGGCTCAATGCGTCTTGCCTTATAAAACCATTGAACAAGTCTCTGCGCATGCGTGTGACTGTGTTGTAATTAGGCACAGGGACGTCACGTGTCCCTCATCCGTGTGAGAATGGGAGAGAAGTGGATCTAGCCGGCATGGCAATATGCAGTTACAATACTCGAGCATTTGTTTCCTGCACCTTGGAGGGTCTTTGATTTTTGCGCATTTCAAGAACGAAAGCCTTTGGTGAAGTCTCTTTGGATCAAATAACCTACGTCAACACCTGGCTTCTCATAAAGCTGGTCGCCTGTAGCTTTATCGACGTTCTGTTGCCACGCCTACGTTAAAATAAGTCACTGATTCTGTGAGGAAAAGTTTTTAACTCGGCGGATGCACCTTAAAAACAACAGTCCTAGTAGTATTACCTTTTCTGGTGATCCTATGGTCAACTTGAACATTGAAAACTACGTTTTCGAACAATCAATTGACGAGTGAGGAAAATGCAATATTTTACTTGCCCAACAAAAACTTGCGTTCAATTCAGAGAGGAATAACAATTGGTTTTACTGACAATGGTTTCGATGAATATTTGTACTAGTGAAGCATGCTTTGAACTTTCTGCTGACGCACGCGAAAATGACCAAGTTTTCCTGATAGAGGGAGCAGTTTTTGAAAACAATGTGGCTGGAAAAAAGTATCTTTGATACTTATAGCTTTTTAAACTTCAGCATTCATTTTAACTCGTCGGAGTTTCGAATAAACACAGGCAGGGCAGTCAAAATCCATTATGGAAACTCAGCTGACTTAAGAAACGAAAAATGAATGTGTTCTGAGAACGGAATACCTGATTCCAGAATGAAACCTCAACATACGGTCACTTTCAGTGGACTTAACTAACTGTCAGTTTGTGCGAAACGAAGGCAGGTTCTCAGGTGATGCTGCTGCTGTGGGAAGTTTCTCCAAACGGCTCAATTACTTTAACTCGAGTTTAGTGGTAATAAACTACTGATAATTACTTGGAAGGGATCGCTTTGTTTGTGGAGGTGACGCATTAGCTCTGTTCTTTTTACACATAGGTAACCTATCCATAGTCAACAACACTTTAAGAGCCGAACAACCGAGCGCAAGAGGTCTTGCAGAGCCACTCATGCTGAGGTAATCCGTCTGAATTTAGATGTGGAAATTCTGAATCGGCAATTGCTAAAAATTGGGCCAGGGAGTTTACCAGGTAGCTTAACTAACCGTTTTTCATTCATTTCAGCCACGTGTAACTTTATGAGACGTGAAATTTTTAGACTACAGTGGTAAAATAAAAAATCCTCGCGCTAGACATGTACCATCTGACATTTTAATTTATCCCGATTATAGCTACTCCGTGTTCTGCTCTTGTAAAATACAAAAAATATCTGGCGTTCAACGTTGGTATACAGGTGGGACTCACACCCAAGGGGTGATCGATTAGGAGCAATGTGAATTTTCTCATGAAGAACACGCTTATGAGCGAAAATATTAACTTCGCCATCTTTCCGTCGCAGCCCGGCAAATCGACTGCTAAATTACGGATCGACGATCATCAAAAACACTGAATTTCGTAGCAAATTTTGTAATAATTGTACTCTTAATCTACTTAACGTTTACACGATTGAAATCGAAAACTGTTATTTTATAGTTAACTTTGGGGGAGTGGACAGCTCGCACACAAACATTGAGATTTGTCCAGGCAAGTTGACAATCTGGAATACTACCTTTTATCAGTCAGCGGAATCTCAAATGGTTCTTATTGTGGGAGGGCAGTCCAAAGAAATGGTGGCACTCAATGGAATTTGTGACAGTAAACAATATGAAAATACTCAAATTCGTAACAGCTAGTTTATTTTGGATTATTTTAGAGCAGAAAGCAGAACTATTGTTTTTTATTGAAGGAACAGCCACTGGTGTCTTAGAAAGCACAGGCAGAAAAAGTGTTTGCACAAAATTTGGATTATTAAAAATTCTGTTGTACCTTAATCAAGTGGCTGGAGTTGGAATCGTTTCTTCGAATGATGTGAGAAATCTATTGAGAAATGAGCTTGTATTGCGTGTCATAAATCTCTTGAACGTAAAACTAAATGCCAATATATGACAATACTAACTGAAACATCTGCCCTTGGCCGATTTTCACACCATGTTTAAAAGCAATGCTTCAGTTGGTGGCCATATTCTTCTCGATTCCAATTATTTACCCTCTGCACAGCGGTCTAAATAAACTGCGCAAGCACAGGCCAACTCTTCCGCTAGCTGGTCCTTGCCTTGGGTCTGACCTGGAAAAAGTGTTGTTAGTGTGATTGGTTGGATATCGTACTTTGCAGTTTACTCGCTTCGCAAATTTAGTGGCTCTTTTCGGCATAAGTCGCTGATTCAACCAGTAAAATGATCTTTTTTAAAAGAAAGAAATTCTTCTAAAAACTTTCAAAAACGAAAACAGGAATATTACTGCTATATGTTCAACGATAAATTATGTGAAGTAGCAATAAGGCGGTAATAAGGTGGCAACAAAATGACAAAAAAGGCGCTAATGAAACAATAAGTAGAAACGTTCGCTAGTTACGCGTTGAAAAGACTTAAATACTGAACTTCAAACACGCAAAGAATCCAAAACGAAAAAAATGTCTCACCTAGAACTTATATGGATGTTTCTATTCTTTTGTAGTGTCACGGCAAGAACTGATAAGATTATATCTTCGGATCTGCATAATTTGTTGATTTAAACGGTAAAGTGCTCTCTTTTCAAAGAAAACAATTCCCCTCCAAGTTTCCTGATGCGCCGATCACACCTATTAAGATATTTCAGCAAGTAAAACTATTGTTTTCAATTGCGCGCAATCCTGAAATGATTGTGATATGTTTAGCATCTTCTGCAGTTTTCCGTATTGTTACTGCAAGAACTAAAAACATAATATGCTAGTGGCTATAAGCCAGCAAATACAAAAGGAGAGAACATCAACTTTGTATCCAGTGCGAATGTCGAACTACTTAGATACTCCAAAACAAAAAAAAGAAGGGACTTTAAGTCTTTGCAAGTCTGCTCAATTTTTCGAACATTTGTACGGTAAATTAAACAACAGAAACTGAGGGAATTCAATAATAAAAAGCCGCATTAAATCCCCTTGTGTCAAGTTAAAGTGTATTATTTGCCTCAAGTTTTTTTTTTTTTCTGGAGGAAAGACTGGATCGCCATTCCAGGTTGCAGGAAACAAACGAGCTCTCAAACTCTCACATATTTGATTTAAAACAAACATTTGAAATTATCATAGTTACTTTCCTCGCCATTTACTAATTGAGCAGAGGAAAAAATTCGTAGAGTAATCGTCAATGCAAATGAAAATATTTTCTGTAATATCATGACTGTTTTTGAAGAAAGCCGTTGAACTTGAGTTTGTTTGCCAAACCGTTGTTTATTTTCGAAAGTATTCATGTGATTTTCATTCTTGTGCGCTCTCTAATTGACAGGTGTCAGATCATGACAGATGATTATTTAAAAATGTTTCAAAGTTTGCTTGCAAGTATTTTAAATCCCATTTAGCACTCGTGATTAACAAATCGGACTCCCACTTCGCAGTCGTCCGATTTTACTAATCACTCTTATGATTACAGACCGAATTGAATTCCGCTCGGTCCATTACCATTATATACGGGCCTGCCGGTTAGTGAATAACATATATTTATGTAATAGCAAAGTAGTTTCGAGCTAAATTCGCAGCATTCTGATTGGTTCTTAATTGATCAGGATTTTGTCATACGGACCGTTACCATGAAAACTGTCGTAAGCTTTGTATGTTTGTTCTCGAAAACCGGAAATAAAAAATGTGCGAATGTAGTCCGAAGGAGTGGAGTGACATATTAATCTCCCTGCCAACCTTGTCGAACCGTACTAGCGATTATTGGCCCTCGGTCATGTTTGCACGGACGTTATTTATTTTAATTTAACCAAGTATTACAATAATCCGGCATTCAAAAAATCTTCCTGCGAATGAGCATCCCAAACTGATGTGTTTATACGTTCAATAATTAGTTCTTACAAGTTTGTTAGACATGAAAATTCTTCAGTTTGACCCTCAGATAACACAAATAAAATTTTTCACCGAATTGTAAATTTTCAAATTTTCCCTTTAAAACGGTTCTGTAGTCTCCGCGTTTTCTTATGGTGTTTGTGCCTCTTGACAGGAACCTTATGGAACGAAGGTATGTTCTTCACAACACGTGAACCAAGGCAGCCATTTCGACACCTCTCTAATCCTGAGTTGCAATGTTTAGCGCAACCATTAAAATCCTTGCAGCCGGTAAGGCAGAAATTCCATATTCCAAAGCAGGATTGTGCGCAATCACTTCTTGCATCGGTCAATCGAGCCTGCCAGGTGATCACAGGAATCAAAAGTATCAGTATCCCTACGATACTCATCTGGAATGAATAAGATATAAAGAAAAAAAGAAAAAAACAAATTAGTTCTAAAACACAAAGCAGGTATGGTCCCTGAATATAACCGTTTGCAAAATTCAAATTTCGAGGGGATTCGAGCCCGTGCCTCCCAGACACTAAATGGGCGCCATTACCAACTGAGCTACGGAGCCACACTTTGGGAGTGAAACAAATCCCGTCGAAGCCCAAATATCAAGAGGCTTCCTTTCAGCAATTGCTGAAATTGCAGACTACCAGTGAGGAACATTTATTGGCTTGATTTTTTATCCGCAAGTCAAATAAAAACTATTTGTTTACTAGTTGTTATCAAAATCCTGGACGGGAAAGAACAACCCTCTAAAATGTACCAGGCCCCCTAACTTGTAGCTGCGTAACTAAGTTGGTACGGCGCCAAACTAGTATCTGGGAGACACGGGTGCGAATCTCGTAAAAGCCTCAATTTTTCAGGCTTCTTTAAAGGAAAATTATAGAATACCTGCGAGGATCATTTGTTGGCTTCATTTTCACCCGCAGGTCAAATTAAATTTATTTCATTACAAGTTGTTGAATAAGGTCATGTTTTCCTATACTTTTCTTTCCCCTTTGTTCTTTATTTCTTAGGGCACTTAACGAAAATTGCTGTACTTTTTGCTAGTTGTATTTTTTCGGAATATATCTTAAATTTCAAGTTGTGTATTTTTGATTTAGGATCCCTGGGTTTCAAACCCTTAAGTTACTCGTCGATCTTTTCTCAGTTCGATGACATAACACTGACATTACACAACAGTGAAACCGTGTGCGATCACACGTTTCGCCTCATAGGCTGTTCGAGTTTCCAATATGCCTGGTCCGCGATCCGTCATAATGGACGGCAGACTGGCCTGGTGGTTATGATTACGCTCAACGTAAAATTGAAATTGACAACGAAACGAATTAGGGCTACACTATTATTGTTAAATCGAAATAAATCCCAGGATTCGACAGCGAGACGCCTAATTGAGCCTTATAAGCGGCGGTCCCAACCCAGCTTGAGAAGTTTTTCGAAGTGCTCCTAAGTTAGTCATGATTAGCCAACAGCCACAGTTTGCAACGAGTTTCAAGAAAATTTAAAAATGAAACAGGCGCTAACCTTATGAGGCGAGTTCACATTTATCTCAGAGAAATACTGTGCACTTCACTTACCGTTTGAGCTTGCGAAATGACTACTGTTAGTGTACACTGCTCTGTCCTGAATTATTAGCTAAGGAATGATCTCTTCTATTATACTGTTGGGCTTGCCAAATTTTAGCCACGCGTGTGCATGCGTGCAGTTTGAAACCATAACAGGAAATTGTAGGTGCTACCGCAAATGGAAACATGATGTAATGGTTTGCGCAAAATGAAAACACCAGTCATTAATATTTTGTTCTTTTAACTAAAACTAGTAGTAATCTCTTAGAAGTTTCGTTTTCTTCTTATTTTTTTTTCCAAGCATTTTAAATGTAAAAAATATCAAAGGCATCTAAGGTATACATGGGCCACAAGTCGGAATGAGTGTCATAAAGTCGTTAAAGAACCACACTCGTATTGTCGATTACTTGAAACCTTTTTATTATCTGCTAGTCGCGAAGCGTCGGAAACTATATACAAAAACTATATACAATTAATTTGATACAACACCGGTAAAACAAAATCGAGTTATAAAATCAAGGTGTGTCCTGTACAAACAAAACGCGTGACTAAAAGTTAGATAACGAAATCGATTGAAATACACGGGACTGTTCGTAATAATGAGAAAGTGCGTGACATATACAGGTGACTTATCAGGGTTAAGATTTAATTAGAAAATCGAAAATCTGAGAAGAAATTTTTATCTGAGCAGTTTCTTATTTGCATAGAGTCGTCATAAGTTTTTGAAACCAGAACGAAAATGCAAGTCATACGCTACGAATGTGGCGCCTCTGTGATATTTCCTGCTGTTTTTCAACCCCACATCACGAGTTCAATCAGTCAAATCCATTGGAGAAAAGGAAACTGGAGGCGTGCATAAGCATGATGACAGCGATTTTGTTCATCGTCATTATCTTTTTTTAACTCATTCATATAACTTTGCCTATCGTGCGATAAACTATAATGGAACGTAAAAGAAACCATGCTAAATTAGTTAAATGGATCCCCTTTCTGTGGCACGTAGCCCTCAAGCCCGTTTTAATTGGCTTTACTGCCGTTACCTCAATGAAAAGGTGAAATAACTCGAAACGAGATTGAATGAAGTGTTCACTTGCATAAACATTCATTCCGAGAAATAGAAACAAAATTAAGTGGCATGGAATTTACCATTTATAGACTCCAATAAGAAAAAAATAATACTCGTTGAGTGGGCCTCATAAAACTTACTTTCATCGCATGAAAACATTTCTGCTCCCACGAGAAGGAGGCTTTGGGGGAGCTTATTTTTCAGACTAATTGATAAAATGAAAAAAGGCATGGGTGGGAAGCGACTCTGGCGGCGACAGCTGAATTAAAATTACTTTCTCATGGCTGGTCTCACTTCAAAGTGAACCGTATGTAATAAATCACAACATTTTAGGAAACGTCGGCTCAGTGGGAGAATCTTTTGTTAAGTATTAAAGTAGGCTGAATGGTCAAACCGAGGAAGCCGTAGGGCAATTAGAGTTCAATCGCTTAGTGCAAGAAGCGAATCACCTGTTGCCCAAATGTTCTAAAAACTGCCTCAGCATCGATATGGAAAATAAATATTAGAGGGAAGCACTGGAAGTTAAAGTGTTCCAGTATTTCGGTGAATAAATTCCCACATTGCTGTGCTACTATGATCTCAAATCCAGCGGTGTGCGCTGTTTAGATTTTTGTGTTCTTGTGTCGAAGCTCCGCACTGAAACAAAACAAAACTTATTGCAGTTATTGTGTTGCTGTGGACCATGGCTTCATGCAGTGATCGCAGACCATTTTCGTCCTTTTAGAACCGCTAAATTTGGCTTATTTAGTGGGAAAAACTCCATGATGTGCCAAAGAGGATGAGAAACGAGGGTCGTGAACTTTATGAGAGAAGGGAATTCATTGCATTGTCAACGAGCACATGATGTGTAGGAGAAACCATTGAACCTTAACCATCATTACTAGCAGCACATGCGCTCGGGGAATGTGGCGTTGCGATGAGTTCAGCTGTGTTTGCATGTTAACCATAAGTGGGTGTAAAACACTTTCTTTTCCGGCGTTTCTTGGTGGTTTTTTTCTTCCATGCTGCGGCTTGCAAAGCCTCCTAATGTCCTCCTCTTGTGATTGTTTTGTACTTGATTTTACATTAAAGGAAAGTGTTCATAAGGTCCTGGCTTTTTGAATCGCCCAGTGCTCATCTATAAAACAATGCGGAGTTCTTGCTAGCCACGTATCGTCCTTCTGTTCATCTAGTCGGCCCGCTATTGTCTCAATAGCATTGTGAGCAATCCTGTGGCTGTAAACTTCGTGGTCTTGAAGGATGGTAACAGCATTAAGATCACGGTGGAAGAAATATAAGACGAGAATGAAGCCCCCCAATTCAAGGGATCGAATTATTTCCATCTCAGAAGCGTAATTGACAACCACAAAAGTCATTTTGAATTATGCTTGAAGCTGATAAAGACTTTAACTTTAAAAATTAACTTCAATGTGAGATATGCAGCGTTGACTTTTTTCAATTATTAGAATACTTATGGCTATTGAACTTCAGAGATTATTGTCTTCATTGATTGAGAAAACACCCGTCAACTTTTTTTAAAAAGCGTTATCATTTAGACTTTAAATCACTCTTCATATCAAAAGTTATACATAAATATTTAAAGAATGTACATGAGAAAAAAATACGCGTTTTTGACTTGCTGAAAACGACTGCATTGTCATGTAACACGAGAGCAAAGTTGTAAGACGGGTGCAAAGTCCTAACACGGGCCGGGGCAAAGTTGTAACAGGAGTGCAAATTAAAGATAGCGCGCACACGCTTTCAAAATTGCTTCTGTCTTGACTTTCTGGGGGTGTTTTTTATGTACATTATTAACAAGTAATAACATAATTTCTCTTGCAATTTTTTGTTAATAAGCACTTGTAAAATTTTAAAGCCCACAAATTGTACTTAATTTCTTTGTTAATAGTCAAAAATAATTATATGGTACCACCTTTTTTTTTTTTTCATCTCACCTTTAAATCTTTTAGAAATTATTTAATCTTCTATTTGAGAATTGTTAAGAAATGGAATAAGTTCTTTTCCAACTAGTGAATGAACACCCACCGGTTGCTTTCATTTTTTCATCGTTCCACAACACCAAGACACCCGCGTATCAATAATACCGCAGCATTGCAAATATAAATACCAGATATCCCGTACAGAAATAGGAACAATTAATACGTACATACGATTATCTTTCCATAGGCTAAAAAAAATTCTTCAGTCTATTCCAGCTTGTACGTACATTTAAGGTGCTTTTGTTCTCACTAAGCCCTCCATGAAATTGTTATATTCCTTGTGTATGTTTCTATGCGAAAAAGAGCCACAGTATACTTCTCTCCGTTAAGGTGATTCCTCAGAAAAAAAAAAAAAAAGTTATCGCACATTTTTTTTTTAACTTTCCATAAACAGTCTTAATCAATGTCTGTCTCGAAAAATACAATAAAAAAAGACGGGTTACTGTGCTTGTTTAGGAGATATAATAGGCAAAACTTACCCCATTTATGCCTGCACTGCATGGCAATAATCACGCGTGTCATTTCATCGGTTCACGGTACATTTTGCTGCAACTGGAAGCAAGGGTTTTTAAAGTAACACTTGAAAAAAAAATGATGAAGAGAAAGTTTCGAGCTTATAGAACAACTTAATTCATAATTTGTGGGAAAATCACACAAATTTAAACGACATCGCCTCAAAATATTCTTCGAGTCGTCCCTTTGAAGGTCATAATTTGCATCCTCGAGTAACGGGCTTCGTGCATGCTTTTAGCTCATCTTTTATTCCTTTTATTATTTCTCCAATTTAAAGGGGATATTTTGTACATTAAAATTGCGTAAAAAAAGATGTAGGTCACCATGCTCGTTCAAGAGCTGAAGACCATCGTAATCCTCTTTACCTGGTCCATGGATTGAAAAACAATACCGTGTTCTCGGAATGCGCGCGCTCATTCCCCTGATACGGGATTTTTATGCGCAATACAGGATGCGCGGTGCAAAACTGAGGAATCACCTTAGGGGAATTTATGACGGTCTATGGAATAAAAAATACAGGCAAATTCTTAATAATAATACCACACCTTACTTCCACATTGCATCGCTTGCTATCTGACCGCTTACTATGTTGAAAAGAGCCCATTGTGGCGAGTTTAGTAATATATTCTCACCAGGGCTACCTACAAACAAAGCTTCAAAGATGTTATAAGATTTGGGAAAGGCCAGCCCGAGGTGGAAGTGAGTAGGTAGCTACCTGGAGCGTAGGCGCTATCATCACTGCGGGAAGGAGGGAGGGGCGCACTTAGCTAAACCTCCTAAAACGCCGTGGAAAGGACTTTTGAGGT